ATGATCTTTTGGACTTGCTGTCTACCACGTTGCCAATATAGATATAAAAAAGAAAGGATAGAAATGATATGGGTACAGGGGAGTTATAGAGAGCCCTAATTTGCAGGAAGGAGCCTGGGGGTGGGGAGAAACCCCCAAACTCATTGACTTGTAGTGTCTATTCCTTGGGGTTTTGTCTAATTGGTTTCCTTTATGTGTTATTTCTGTGGTTGTTTTCTCTTTTTCTAGTTTTAAAAAATAATGTCAAAGACTTCTGAAAACAGAACATTTCACTCATGTGAGGTCAATTTTTTACACTTTTCAAAAAACAAGGGTATGTTTGGTCATCTTGGTAGTATTTGGAAATGTATATTTTGTTTGACATTATTTGTGAATTAGATTTTTCCTCCTCAGAATAAGTGTAAAAATGCTTCCACATGTTTGAAGTTGGTTTCATCATTTTGCTAAGAAGGAAAAAGGAAGAATGTAGTTTATAGCAATTTTCATGTGAATACATATTTAATAATGGTGTTTCCTCAAAGTTAAAACAGCTTTTCTACTGCTTCAATATGCTACTAAAGTTAAGAAGATAATATCATTTGTTTCAAAGTATTAAATTGTAATTGAGATATTTTTTAATGTGATGAAACTAAGCTATATTTTACTATTTTGATTTCTTACACAAAATACAATCTTAGGTGAGGATCTGACTTTAATTTTTTTCCCCAAATACCCACAAATCACATAACATCATTAAAGAAATGCTTCAGGTTTTCATATATTAAATTCTTTTCCATGTAATAAATTCTTATATGTAACTTGAAAAAAAAATCTATTCCATAGCTCTCCTTACTAATTCCTAATCTCTCTAGGAGTTCCTAAGATCTCCTTTCTAGTTCCTAGGAATGTTTTAATAATTGTGGGTTTTATGGTATATTTTAATATATGGTAGATCAAACAAATGTCTCTTCATTATTCCAGTTTTAAGGAATATTCTTGGCTTCTTCTAGATGATTGTTAGAATGATTTTGTAAAGTTTCAAAAATATCTACTGGGATTTTTTAAATTAGAATTTCATTAAACCCATAAATTAGTTTAGGGAGAATAATTGATTTTCCTATCCAGGATCATGGTAGGTCTTTTCCTGTATTCAATTTTAAAATATTTCTCTGTAAACTATAATATTCTATATAAGGGTCCAGTCTATTTTATATTTAATTATAGATTTTATGGATTTTCTTTGAGGCATGTGGGGTAGGGTGTGGGGGGAGAAAACATTAGCCTTACTTTAAATGTTCCTAACTCTAGTTTTCCCATTCTTTTTATAATGCTACTTTTAATAATGGAAAGTTACTTAAGAACTTAATTATCAACCTATAGCAGAACAAACTATCCAATGCATATGAGGATCTCCAGATTATAGTACCATAAAGAACCAGTTTCCAACTTTTAAGACACCAAATTAGATGTGTTCTTTCTTTCTTTCTTTCTTTCTTTCTTTCTTTCTTTCTTTCTTTCTTTCTTTCTTT